TTTTAACCTGGATTTTATTCCCATTTCATTTGAAAATTGTATTTTGTTCCATATTCCTTTTAAACTTGATTTTATTCCCATTTCCTTTGAAATTGTAGTTTGTTCCAATTTCATTTTAAACTGCATTTTATTCCCCAATTCCATTTTTAAATTGTTTTTTTTTAAATCAGATTTTAGTCATAACTTGTGTCTGGAAATTTGCACTTTGATATGACCCAAGGGCTAATCAATAAATTTTAAGTAAAGTAAACAGTGGCGTTGTAACTTCGAACGGTCCTAAATGAACTATCGTAAGTCGAGGACTACCTGTACTGACAGATGTTGGAGAGGACTTAACCACTGGGTAAAACACCAACTGTGTTTGTATTGTTCCTCAGCAGAGCCCGGATTCAGATTTTGCATTCTGTGTACTAATTGCTTGCAAAATACAGTAATACAAATTGGAGCCAGAGGAATTCCAAGATGTAAACAAAAATGCCATTTAACTCGCAGTTCCTTCTGTTAAACCATCTGCCTGCTATTTAATAGGCTCTAACTTTAACGTCGCTTTTCCCAACCTGGAGCCCTCCAGATGTACGGGGGCTCCTCGACTTACAACCAAATTGGGACCAGAATTCCTTAATTAAACAAAGGGATGATTAAGAGAGTGGGCACCAATTTTATGACCTTTTAGCCATGGTTGTTAAGCGAAAAGCTGCAGTTCTTAAGCGGATCGTGAAGTCATTAAACGAATCCAGTTTCCCCATTATGACTGCTTTGCCCTGGTTATTAAGGGAATGGCTGCAGTTCCTAAGTGGATCGTGCAGTTGTTAAATGAACCCGGCTTCCCCGTTATGACCTGACTTGTGAAAAGGTCGCAAAAGGGGGTCATGTGACCTTGGGACACGGCAACTTTAAGACCTGTGGACTTCAATTCCCAGAATTCCTCAGCCAGCTTTCTGGTTTTAAATTGCTGTACTGCTCCTTCAGATTTCCCCCCGCCCTGCCCCGTTTATAGCAACTTGAAAACAGGCAAAGGAATGTTTTACGAGTTGACATTCGGCTCCCCTCACTTCTTGAAGGTGACCTGTACAAAGCAAAAAACAAATCGAATGCAGGTATAGCTAGCTTTGCTGGCTGAGGAATTCTGGGAATTGAAGTCCACAGGTCTTAAAGTTGCCAAGGTTGGAGACCCCTGCTTTAACTGATTATTAACCTTTTCCCGCAGAATCCTGTGGGCACCGTGTGGTCCCTGCCCCCAACGTGACTCTGCCGAAGGGGAAGATTGTGGGCGGCAGTCGTGCAAAGCCAGGTGCCTGGCCATGGCTGGTGTCGGTGCTGCTGAACGGAGAGCTGATGTGCAGCGGGGTGTTGGTGGGCAGTGCTTGGATTGTCACAGCTGCCCACTGCTTCACCGGGTAAGGCCAACAGAAGGGATCAGCGAGGTCATCCAGTCCGACCCCTGCCTAGGGTGGGTCCACAAAAGTCTCTCTGATAAAGGACCCACTGACTTCTCCTTGAAGGCCTCCAATGCAGAACTCACTGTTTTCATGTGGCGGACTGTTCCACTGGCTCCTTTTGTCGCTTGCCTCTATTTCTTCTTCTGTTCTCCCCTTCTTCTCTCCTCCCTTCTCTCGTGTGGTCTTAAAAGGCCTTGGTAAGGCCACACTTGGAATATTGTATCCAGTTTGGGTCGCCATGATGTAAAAAAGATGTTGAGACTCTAGAAAGAGTGCAGAGAAGAGCAACAAAAAGGATTAGGGGACTGGGGGCTAAAACATATGGAGAACAGTTGCAGGAATTGGGTATGTCTAAGGTAAAGGTTCCCCTTGCACATACATTGTATGATGATCCAGAGTGGGATACAAAATCAACAAAGTCACAAAAACAGGTGAAGTCCCTTTAATTCCTTCAACTTGACTTCAAAGGTCCAATTATCATTGACTGAAGAAAAAACTCCCTCACAAACAGTTGCAAAAAGGAAGAACTTCCGTTCAAACTCAAAATAAATATAAACTATCAATAGAAAAAAACAACACAAACCACACTGAAGCAATTAATGAAACAAGGCAGGATAAGGTCTTGAAGACGTCCACAGATATCGGAACACACACATTGGGAAGGACGCCAGATCTCAGATAAGAACTGACAGACTAGAATTATTTTCACGCTTTGCTTCCCGCACTGTCCCATGTGCAGTTTGTCCTTTTAACCAGTCCTCCCAGCTGCAGCCCATGAAGGGGATCAGGGCCCTTTCCTCCCCCATAAACCATGCCATTCATGTCTCTCCCTTATCCGTTCCTCCCTGCGTGCCCTAGGATGGAGAGGGGATGCGCCCGGGTCTTCCTCTGACTGCCCAGCCGGCCTGTGCCCTTCCCCAGCCTCCTCCACAACCTCTGGAGACACATCTCCACAACCTCCGGAGGCACATGTCGGCTGTTCTTCCTCTCCCTCGGAGTCAGATTCTAACAGGGGCATGACACATTGCTAGTTGTTTCCAGCTCTAAAGGGCGCTACTCATCTCTGTCACAAAGCCAAAGAGCCAGCGCTGTCCAAAGACGTCGCTGTGGTCACGTCGCCAGTATGACTAAAGGCCGAAGGAGCATTGTTACCTTCCCACCAAAGTGGTCCCCATTTTTCTACTTGCATTTCTTGTACATGCTTTCGAACTGCTAGGTTGGCAGAAGCTGGGACCAGTAATGGGAGCTCACTCCATTACATGGCGTTAGGGATTCAAACCGCCGAACTGCCGACCTTTCTGATCGACAAGCTCAGTGTCTTAGCCACTGAGCCACCGTGTCCCTTGGGTATGTCTAGTCTAGTGAAAAGGACTAGAGATGATATGATAGCTGTGTTCCGATATCTCAGGAGTTGCCACAAAGAAGAGGGGATCAGCCTATTCTCCAAACACTAGAAGGCAGAACAAGAAGCAATGGATGGAAAGTAAATAAGGAAAGAAGCAACTTAGAATTAAGGAGGAATTTCCTGACAGTGAGAACAGTTAATTAGTGGAATGACTTGCCACCAGAAGTTGTAAGTGTTCAATAACTGAAGGTTTTAAAGAAGAGATTGGACAACCACTTGCCTGAAATGGTGTAGTTTCCTGCTTGAGCAGGGGGTTGGACTAGAAGACCTCTGAAGTCCCTTCCAACGCTGTAATTTTGTTAATGAAAACCCACCAAACTTTAATTCCTGGGGAATTCTGGGAGTTTAAGTTCACAATAGCAATAGCATGTAGACTTATATCCTGCCTCACAGTGCTTTACAGCCCTCTCAAAGCGGTTTAGAGTCAGCATAATTGCCCCCATTTTACCCACCTTTGAAGCCTGAGTCAACCTTAAACCTGGTGAGATTCGAACTGCCAAATTACAGGCAGCCAGCAGGCAGCAGAAGTAGCCTGCAGTACTGCACTCGAACCACTGTGCCACCACAGCTCTTAGTCTTAAAATTTCCAAGTTTGAAGCTTCCTAGTTTATGGGAACGTAATGACTGTAGGTGTGATGACCCAAAGGGGCGTGGCGCAAAAGCAACACAGTCAAATAATCAGTAGGAGTCCCTTTATTAGCTCCAACTTTGCCCCCAATGTCCTGGTTACCTTTTGGCTGGAAAAAAAAACTCTCCCAGGAACAGCCTTTGGCTGCAGAGAATCAAGTCCAAAACGTGGTCAACAAAAACTGTAACTCTAAGTCCAATCAAGGCAAAATGAGGTAATTAGTCCAGCAGGGCAAGAGAAGGAATTCCAGACGTGAAGGCACGGCAATAACTCAACATGTTTGGGAGGATGCCAGGAACACAGATAATCAAAGTCAACACAAGATAAACTCACGTTTGTTCCCAGCAGACACCGCGCTCAGCTTGCATCTCTTTTAAACTCTCATTCCCAGGTGTGGCTAATGAAGGGACTCAGGGCCCTTTCCTCCCCCGTAAGCCACACCACCCACGTTGCTTTCTTCTCTGTTCCTCCCTGCGTGCCCTAGGATGAAGAGCGGGTGGGCCTGGGTCTTCCTCTGAACTCCCTCTCCCTTGTTCTACCTCTTCCCTGCTCTGCCCAGCTGGACTTTGCCCTTCCCCAGTTTCTTCCACAGCCAACGGAGCCACACTCCCGCTCCCTGTCAGCTGTTTGTCTTCCTCCTCGGATTCAGACTCCGACAGGGGCATGACACTAGGCTGATGACTTGCTTAACTCCAACACCAGTTCTTCTTGCTCGTCTCTTACACCTCAGGCATTTCCTCGAGGTGCCCACCCAAATAGTGAAGAGGGCCCAACCTGTTTGCAAAAGCAGGTGTTCATGGAATTTGGGGACTGGGGGGGGTCTATCAGAGATCCTAAACTCTGTAGGGAGAGAAATACAGATAGTCCTCGACTTATAACAGTTCATTCAGTGACCATTTGAAGTTACAATGGGATTAAAAATGTTACTTATGACTGTTTTTCACACTTAGGACCGTTGTACATCCCTGTGGTCATGTGATCAAAATTCAGGTTTTTGGCGACTAACCCATACTTATGACGGTTGCCGTTTCCTGAGCTCAGGGCTGCCGATGACTTTTTTTGCAACCGTCTGAAAAGCAAAGTCAAGATTCGCTTAGCAACCGTGTTACCGACTTCACAACTTCCCGGATTTGCCTAACAACCGGGGGCAAGGAAGGTCGTAAAAAGGGGACGGAAATTCACTTTGCAAATGTCTCACTTAGAAACAAAACATTGGAGGTTCAATTGTGGTCATAAGTGGAGGACTACCTGTACCTGTGTCAGGGTGGACAAGGCAGGGAGAAAGCCCCGTGTAGGGGGTGCCGAATTTTTTACAATTTCCTGGTTTTTCTCCCGGTGGTAGAAGCCGAAATGAGCTGGCCTGGTCCGTGGTCCTGGGTGACTATGATCTAACCAAGTGGGATGAAGGCGAACAGGTAGTGCCCATCAGCCGCATCCTGCCGCACCCCAAGGTGAGTCTGGGCTCTGTGCCTGCCCATTGTTTGCAGAGTAGGATTAGAATAGAAAATAGAAAATAGAATAGAATAGAATAGAATAGAATAGAATAGAATAGAATAGAATAGAATATAGAATAGAATAGAATATAGAATA